GGATGGGTTTAAATGGAAACTTTCCCATCCGATGAATCACAAACCTAGAGGCGCCACAGGGCGGGACTTGGGACTCAACCGGGGGCTGTGCTCAGTTTTCCACCTCGAGAGTGTCTCTGCATTCATGCTTGCCCACTGCAAACAGGGGGCTAAGGAGAGAAAGACATACCAAAGCACTTTTAAATGCTATTTGCAGCACACAAAGATGGACGCTGCATCATTAGAAAGAGCAAAAAACCGACAATGTCTGCCAGAGGAATGGCTAAATGCACCATATTGTTCTCCAACTAAAATTCTGAAAGATAAGGGAAATACAAGTATGCTAAAGGGACAAGAAAGACTTTCAAAAATGTAGTTAAGTGAAAGGAGACAGCTGCAGAATGATATGTGCAATAAAATCGCAATTATATACAATGTTTAAAGGTCTGGAGGATGTATGTGAAACACAGTCAACACTTATCTGTGGAGGAAGGCGGGATGGGGTGCGTGTGAGGGAGGGAAGGGGTTTCTGCTTTGCTCCATTTACTGCTAAATTGTTGTGTATTGTCCAGCTAACGTATTCTTGTATCCCTTGTATAACCTTAGAACACACAAAAAACCTCCCTCTTGTGCTCTGAGGAAGAAGTTTCTCCTTTTACTACTTATCACTAGATTCCTGATAATACAAAATCAGATTCATCTCAAATCCCAGCAAATAATGGGCCCCAGGGTTTGGAGCCTGACTTGGTAAGGACCGCGGCATGACAAACCTGGGGTTAGGGTGGTGACAAGCAGTCACGCTGGAAGAGGCCACCCAGGAGAGCTCTCTTCTCAAGAGTTAATCCATCATTATCAACCCTGGGAGCATGTGCATTTGACGCCCAGCTCTGATACTGCATCAGACTTCCGGACACAGTTACCTGGGTGGGAAGGAGGTAGGGTGGAAACACACTTCTTGTCTCCTCAGTGGGGTCCTCGGCCTCCACACATACACAGTCTTCACATATACCCCCCAGAGGGGGTGACTTACTGGATTTGCACCGCCCCGCACCCGCCTCCTCTGGGCAGTGAGGCTGCGCAGAGAGCACAGCCCCAGTGGTAGGGGTGGAGCGGGTGGAGAGCAGGGGCTGGGCCACAGCTGTCCATGACGGGGGGTGGGGTGGGTGGGGTGGGGGGGATTGTTTCTTTAATTCCAGGGCTCAACAGTAGGTTACCCACCTGCCTACCAAAAAAAAAATCCACATTCTCCAACATAAGCTTTGTCAGAATCAGTGGCAACATCTCCAGCTCCTTTTCCCTTCATTCTATTGTTGTATTTTTCGATTGGTTCGGAACTCAGGGGGAAGAAGGGTCTTATTTACTGAGCCCTTCTGAACTTTCAACAGTGAACGAGGTTGCAGAGGGCCAGATTCTTAACAGCCAGATTTTAAAACCAGTATCAAAGGCACTAAACTTCGTAGCACCAGCCGTTTTCTGATGGGCTTCAGCCAGGCTCCTGTCAGTACAGTGAATTGAAACGCTCAAGCCCGAGGAGAAGCTGATCGAGGACCAGGCTAGAAGGAAGGCTGGTCCGTGCCTACCTATTTATCTTGAAACTGATGGCATCCTGTTTGGACTTCGGGTAGACTATATTCCCTTAAACAAATAAAAAAGCAATCTTCTTCCAAGTCCTAGATCCGATTGGCTCAGTCACCAGACATCCGATCTAAATTGTACCCTAATTTCCTCTTCATGCGTTATAAATCTGATATCATACATTGACATTAGGCATGCCTAGTCAACTACAATATTCTTTTACACTTCCATAATGAACCCTTACCCACTTTTTATCACCTTATAAGAAAAATATACTAGGAACAATAAAAAATTGTTTGCAGTTTTTATGGCCTGTTATTAAGTGAATGACTCAAGTGGGGAAAAAAAGTGGTTGCGAGTTAAGGCAAACAGAGCACATCCTCTCTCCCGCGGTTTCTGAGGCTCACACTCTGTACCTTAGAGCCACCATAACAGGGAAGGATGGTAGGACCAGCCTCTTGACAAATGAAGGTAACTTCTAACGGGATGAAACAGCAGATACGTTGTTCCCCCATCCCCTTTTATATCGCTCCTTTTAAACATGACATCAGTTTTGTTCACGTGGCCCGTGGGATCTTAGTTCCCTGACCGGGGACTGAACCCGTGCCCCCTGCAGTGGAAGCGCGGAGTCTTAACCACTGGACTGCCAGGGAAGTCCCAACATCAGTTTTAAATATGCTGGATGCAGCACTCCGCCAACAGACAGGATTCTTGTATATGCAAGACAGGGTGGGGTTTTATAAACAAACCTGAAGAACACTAAGTATTTACTGAATTAATACATAAATGGAAGGGGTGGGGGGAATAAGTGGCCTTATTAGACACAGATCCTGCTATGCTAATTACTGCTAGAAAGCCATCATTTTTGGTGAACACACTCTATCCTTAATGTTACCTTAGGTTGATGACTTACAGTTAAGCATACACTGGACACAGAGGGTCAACTCAGCCAGGCCACAGGGATGTGGCTTGAAGCCCCTCATCCTAGAGGGCCCACGAGGGAGTTACTTTTTCGAAACTCGGATGTCTGTGTGTGCTTTACTGACATTTTAAAAATAGTCGATTCGCTAAGATTCCTGTATGCTGACATCACTCCACCCACATCCTAAAGCATGGACTCCGCAGCTCCTGTCCATGTGTGGCACAGCCGACGCAGCGAAAGCCTGGCAGTGCACTTCCACGTGCACCCCGAGGACATAGTCAAGGACGCTGGCTCTTCACCACGTTACCATGTCCTTTCTACCAAGATCCACGAGAGGAACTCTCCGCAGGTCTTAGCACCAGAAAAATCCTGTGCAGCAGTTTTTTGACCTTCCAGTCCTCAAAAAGAAAGGTACTTAGACTTGTTTTTAAATTGTAAGAGTAATATACCTACTTGGAAAAAGTTCACGGTCTAAAGGGCACATAGGGGACGTTGGTGGCATTGAAATGGTCTATTGTGGGCACATGTGATGGGCTCGTAGGCGTTCATTTTACTGCTGTGCTTCACAGGCTACATGCGTAGCACAAATGCCGTTTTAGATGCAGTGAATATCACCCTCTCTTCCTTTAGAAATAAGTCATGTAACTGTTTTTTGCACAGGCTACTGGGAAGCCCACAGCCAAATCTGAGCCTCGCTCCCAGGGGTACAGTAACTTAGGACATGCATTTTTTTATCCTAGCCTGAGCCCGGGCTTACTTTTATTCTTCCTACCCTCATCTTCCTTTAAGCACAATTTCTTTTTTCCCCCAGCATTACTGAGATATAACTGACGTACAACATTGTGTGAGTTTCAGGCATACAATGTGATAATCTAATAAATGTATATATTGTGAAATGATTACCACGATAAGGTCAGTTAACACAGCTGTCACCTCTCATAGTTACCTTTTGCCGTTGTGAGAACATTTAAGATCTACTCTCTTAGAAACCTTCAAGTTCACAATACAGTATTGTTAACTGTAGTCCTCATGCTGCACATTACATCCCCAGACCTATTCATTTTAAAGCCAGATGTCTGTACCCTTTGACCAACATCCCCTCATCTCCCCCACTCCCTGGCGACCACCAATCTACTTTCAGTTTCTATGAATTCTAACCAAAATTTCTTTATTTTTATTTTCTATCTTTTCATTTCTCATATTTGTGTTTTCTCATAATAAGCTGCTTCAAATCTACTTGAGAATCAGGTAGGTTATTTTAATGCTGAAAAAGGCCTTGTTTATGAAGACCCTAGTATTAACGTGCAAACAATTAAAAGCTGGGGCTCTGACCCTCGGGGTTGCCTCAGGATCACCCGGTGCTTCCTTCCTAATTGCCCGGCTCCACACACACAGCCTCTGGACCAGGGGGCAGGTTGGTGTGCGCTCCCGGGACATGGGTTCAGGAACTCTGAAAACTTCCTCTGGAGACACAGCTGTACTCGTGCCCCTGGTTAAGAACCCGACTCAGCTCCACGTGCCTCCAGATGTGAGCTCTCCTAGGAAGGACACATCACCTACGTAATGTCTTGGCCTGTAATGCCAACCTGAATCTGACCACAAGGAAACATCAACCACAGAAGGAGAAATGTCCTATTTTTAAAGAAGGGGAAGGACTGTCTTCTTTTAAAATGTCAATGTCATGAAAGTCAAAGAAAGAAAGACGGGGGTGGGGGTGGGGGTGGGGGAGTGTTGAAGCTGAAAGGAGGCTAAAGAGACACGACAAATCAACGTAACACCTGAGCCCACACTCCGGGCACGGGGAAGGGGCTGCTGTAGAGGACGTTAATGGCTCCGCTGGCAAAACTAGGACATGCACAGTAGGTTAGTCAGGTAAAAATACTGCCTCGATATTAAATTTACTGAAGTTGACAATCACACGGTTATAGAAGAGAACATTGCTGTTAAGAAATGCACACAGCACTCCAGTATTTAGGAGCAAAGGGCCATAAACATATGTAATTTATCCTCAGATGGTTCAGAAAACATACTGTGTGTGTATGGGCGTGTGTGGAGAGAAAGTAAACAAACAAATGAGCAAAACGCTGGCAGGTGGTGAAAATGGGTAAAGGGTATACAAGTGTCCTTCGGGCAGTTTCTGCAGCTTTTCTGTACGTTTGCAATGATTCTAAGTATAAAGTTTAAGAAGATAAAAGGAAAGCCCGTCTGCCACCACACAACCCCAACACGGCAGTAATTTTTCAAACAGGACGAGGTTTCCTTCGTTTCCTACTGCCTTGCTGCCATTAGCGGCCCTGGGACCCAACAAGCAGCTCCGCCTGGAAGAGACAAACGCGCCTCCCCCGCCCCCGCCCCCAGGAGGCCGCCTCCCAGCGGCCCAAACCCACTCTTCCTTCTGGGAACGCACAGACCTCCAAAGCCCGCTGAGATGCAGACTCCGGATGTGTTATTTCCTCCTGTTCTCCCATTTTTTAAAGTTACGGGATTTTGACACCTGGGCGCAGACCCGGGCGCAGAGCCTCACCGTGCCGGGCCTCGTGAAGTCCACGCTGCGCGCCAGGCTCTGCCGCATCTGGTTGCTGAAGAGGCGGACGCAGACGCTCTGCAGGTACTCGGGGGTGATCTGTCGGAGGACAGAGGATGGACGGCGGGTGAAAGGGGTGAGACATCCCCGGGGCCGTGAGAGGCACCCTAGCCAGCGTCGGAGCTGACTCTCAACGGCCTCTCCGAGGGCACAAAGGTGAGCTTTTGCTTTACCATCGCAGCCCCAGGGAGCTGAAGCGCTGCGCCTGACGCAGAAACTAACACACTACTGGTGTGGTCACGGGATAGCACACTTTAAGTCACAGAACCCCACTTAACGTACTCCTGCTGTCATGTAGAATAAACCGATTTCTCTTTTTTCTTTTGGCTGCACAGGGCGGCTTGGGGGATCTCAGTTCCCTGACCAGGGATTGAACCTGTGCACTCAGCAGTGAAACTGCAGAGTCCTAACCACTGGACCGCCAGGGATTTCCCATCAAATAAACCGATTTTAAACCATTTTTTGTTAATGCAAGCAACAAAGTCACTGGGTGGCCATAATGTGATGGAAAGAAAGCCGGACTGAAGATCTGAAGATCTGGGGTCAAGCAGCGGATTCGAGAAAATCAGCAGCTCTGCCTCCTGCTTTCCTGACCTGTCGGATGAAATGAATGAGGCCACGGCTCTGCGTCACGGGGAGGGGGGTAAATGAGATCAAGGGAGAGCCTAGCACATGACAGATGGCTCAGTAAACGCTTACTGAATGAGTGATGGAGACACTTTATACACTATCCAGCACTAGACAACAGGAGGCTGGGTTACTGCTGCATCAATGCCACTGCATCATGGCCTCTTCCTTCAGCACCTCTCATACCTCTCTCATTAGGTACCGTGATTCAGGATGGACATCCAGCATCTAAGGTGGTCATCTCTGAAACGTTTTCATCTTACGTCTTTTCTTTTTATAGGGGTAACATGTGCTCATTTAAAAGGTAACACAACCTCTCCCCAGCCCCACCCCACAAGCCAATCCCTGGAGGTAACTACTCTTAACAATTTTACCCCCTTCCAGACTTTTTCCTGTGCCTGATTGTGAGAGGGAAGCTCCTTTTCCCCAGCCTCACGATTCCATGTGCTGAACTTCCATATGGTAATGTAACTGGCTCTCTTCCTACCCCTCACTCATTCGTCCCTACAAGAGGAAGACAACTCAACTGGCTGGTGAGTTGGAAAGAGCCAGAACACTGGGCTAGACCCTTTTGTCTCCCTGTGGTCCTCCTGTCTGTCCCCTTGAAACATCTGGTCTGATTCGGCCACCAGAAAGACTGCCCCTCTGTGCCAGATGTCTCTGGTCATCCCTCGACACTCAGCTATAAGTGACTCAGACAAATAAGGGCCCCATCTCAAGGCTGTACCTCCTACATTATCCTGAGCCCATTTCCTCTGAATTCCCACAGTATCAAAATTTAATCATTCATTTTTCATCCTGTACAATTAACCTTTCCTTGTAAACCTGTTCCTTCCCTACAACCTAGAAACATGTCCAAATACATTTAATATTTTAAAAATACCTTCCCTTTTCTCCTCCCTAGGCCCTCATCTATCAACCACCCTCTCAGTGTTCTTCCTTCACAGCCAAGGTCCTTGAAAGAATAGCCAACGTTTGCCGCCTCCCCTTCACTTTACCTTTCAACACACCACAGTCGAGCCCCCATCTGAATCACCCCAAGGGAGCTCATGGCAAAGGCCTTCTAAGTGTCAGAAACACTGGACACTTTTCCGTTCTGGACTTCTACAGTTTTCTGTGATTTTTGAGACTTTGGATCAACCCCTTGCTCCTGAAACTGTTTCCTCTTTTGGCTGATACCGCAACTGATACCAGACCCAGCCCTTTAACAAGGAAATCTGATTCTGTCACTCTCTTGCTTAAAAAAAGTGAGTGAGAAAAGGACATGAATAAACAGTTGACTAAAAGACAAATATATAAATGGCCAAAAAACATATGAAAATATATTCAGCCTCATACATGACTAAAGAAATGTAAATTGAAACATTCAGAATACCAAGTTTTACTTAGCAAACTGGCAAAAATTTCAACGTATAATCATGTCCAGTGTTGGCAAGTGTGTGGAGAAATAGATGCTCTGATACGCTACTGGGGGTGGGGGGTGGGTAGACATCGTTGAAATCTTTGGAGAAATAATTTGGCAAAACATCTCTCAAAGTTTTAATGCCCATAACCTTTGACCTAGCAATTCCATTCTTAGGCTCTTATCTTACCTATATTCAAAGGTCTACAGTATATACAAGGATGCTCATCATAACAGTTTTTGTTATAGCAAACAAAAAAATCTAAATGTTCCTCATCAGAGATCTGATGAATTATGGTTCACCCTTGCAGTGGAATAATAATGTACAAGCATCAAAAAGAATGAAGTAGGTGTGTGGTCATGTGGAAAGATCTCCAAGATATATTGAAAGTGAAATAGCAAGCTTGGGAAGAGTAATGGGTCACAGGATCCCAAGTAAGTATGGCATACCATATGCACACGCACACACGTGCACACACATGCACATGCACAGAAGTGTTCTGAAATAATACACAAGGAAGTGTTAATCTTGAATGTCAGTAAGAAAACGAGACTTAGGAATTGTGTGTGGAAGGGGCCTTTTGCTCCTAACTATATACTCCTCTGAGTTGTTTCAGTCTTTTACCAAGAGCACGTATTTCTTTTACATGAAGAACAAGCTAGTTAAGATTCCAGTGTTCCCCCCAACCTCATCTCTCCCTGTTTCGATAGTGGAGGCCCTTCCAACCCCTGCCTGGTGGTCTCAGGCCTCTGCTTGCACGCTCCAGTTGTAAGAGCTCATGTGCCCATCTGTGGCCACACCTGGCGTCGCGTCGACCTGGCTGTAGGAAGCACACCAGGATGATGGCAGTCACGTTTTAAGAGGAGAGAAGGCAAAAGGAAAACACACACTTTATTTATTTCTGTACTGTTTGAATTTTCTTTCTTTTTTCTATCTTTTGGCCTTGCTGTGCGGCATGCGGGATCTTAGTTCCCTGACCAGGGATCGAACCCGTGCCCCCTGCAGTGGAAGAGCGGTGTCTTAATCACCGGACCGCCAGGGAAGTCCCTGAATTTTCTATGTACATGCCTTCTTTTTCTTCTTTTTTGTCAACAGATGTGTCATGACACATCTTTATCTCAAAAAAGACACATGAACAATGGGGGACCTTCCTTACCATCTTGCCACTGACTGTGGCCTCCAGAGAATCCACCAGCTCTGCCGTGACTCCGATGAGATTGTGGTAGTCCGCCTGGATCTTATTGTACCGTTTCAAGTACGTCATTGACCTACGCTCAGCTTCTACCAGCTGCTGGTGGAGTTGCTGCAACACTTCTAGGAAGACAATATATATTTATATTAAAACAAAACAAAAAAGCAACAATTTAAAAGACCCCTACAAAATAAAAAATAATTATATTCTTGTCAAGGGAGTACCATGCCTACTGTCAGACTATCTTACCATAACAATGAACTTGACGCTCCGTATTTGTGTTTCACACTTCTTCTGTCTCATGCCACTTTTAATTACAAAGTGCTTTGTAATCACTGATGTTTTCATTTCTTATCCCCGGTAGTTCAACTGAGTCATCACTTGCTTTCCTAACAAAATCTATTTCCTTGGCCGAACCCCATGCAACTTCTTTTAGTTCCTCTCTCTATGTACAAGAAACAAACTCAATGTTTCTTTCTAGAATCAGCTCACAAAATGGTTGAACCAAAACTGAGTTTTTCTCTGTTTGTGCCCCGTGAGGTTGTCTGGGGGATAACTCATAACCGCAAGAGAGTTCTTCATTTTAAGTGAAGGTTGGGGCTGCTTGACAGGTGCTGAGAAAACTCAAATCCAGGATTAGGTAAGATTCCAGGTGTTCATTCTGCCAGTTCGATGAAGCATAAGTCTTAGAGCGGCAGCCTTGGAAGGTCCTAGGGTTGTCTCCTTGGAATCCCCCCCACCCTGGCCCCGTACCCCATGGCAGCGCTTGACGGCCACGCCACCCTGGGCACAGTTGGACTATACAAATCTTCTTCGGTGTCAGTACTCCTTGGCCCTATCCTACTTTTTCCCTTTCCTGGAAAGCTATGTTTCGGATGGGAGGACGTGTTGCTGCCCCGAAACCCACGTTAACTCAATATTGTCCCGATCCAGGCACTGCATAATACTTAAAGCCTTCATTTTAGAACACATTTCATGTATACAGAGAGAGCCTTTACAATTATAAAGACCAAATATAGCCATTATTTTATAATAACTTTAATGGAGTATAATCTATAAAAATATTGAACCACTTATGTTGTATACCTGAAACTAATATAATATTGTAAATCAACTCTAATTCAGTTAAAGACCTGGGTTCAAATCTCTACCCTACCAATTTCTTGCTGGGTAACCTGGGGCAAGACACTTAATGTCTCTGCTTCTCATTTCTTAACCTATAAAATGGGGAAGATGATAATGATCTTGAAGGGTTATTGTGAGGATTAAAGAACACATGTACTCAAAGTGCCCAGCACACGGCTGGCCCACAGCAGCTGCCATACACGCCAGCTATTATTATTATTGCCTTTCACGGAAAGGGGTCAAAGATTTTTGAAATATATTTCTATGCAAGTAGATAACTTGAAAAAGCGGCAGAAAGGTTACGTCCTAAAGCAGTGGTAATGCAAATTTTGAAATATATCAGAATCACCCGAAAATAAAGATGATCAAGCTTTACCTTCAGAGACTCTGATTTTGTGGATATTGGGTAGGGGCTAAGTATCTATGCTGTCAACAAACTCCCGGCTCTGACACAGGCCACAAGTTTGAGAAACACTGTCCTAAATTATGTTTTCCTCCTAATTTGTGTCCTAAACAGCTATGAGGATCACCCACGTTCAAACTGTATTTCAAAAACTTTTATGTGTCACAATTGTTGATGTGCAGAAGTAAAATATTTTAACTACTAAAACCCAAAATATCACATAATGAATTATTATTATTTAACGCCCATCAAATCTCAGTATTGAAAGATAACTTTAAAAAGTCATCTGACACAAATTTACATCCAGTACTGGAACCTCTGGAGAACATTCCTAGAAATCATTTATCAATCTTCTCCTAATATAATATTGGGAAGGAGTCACTACCTTCCTCCTACACTAAGTATCATTTAAGCTTTTTCATACATCCAAAACTCAAAATTACATAAACAAGAACTTCCAAGGATGAAAATTTTAGATTATTCATAGTCTCATTTTATGGGAATAAATATTAAAGAGTATCTGTGACATTTTTCTCAACGTGTACCAAGTGGCAGACGAATGAAATACCAAAACCCACTAGCTGGGTCAAATGACTTCCCAAATTATCAGTGTTAATGTCATCGAAGTAGTCCCTCTCCAAAGGGGACCGTAGCAAAAAACTCTTCCCCGCATAAACTCATTTTACAATTAACTAAATGTTAGGGACTATTTGTGGAACTTTTGCCTTGGGAACCCAGAATTGGAATTTATGACAGTTTCAAAGTATGGTAACCAGAGGCAAAAGAGCCTTCACTGCCAGCAGCCTATAGGAAAGAGAGAAGTAGGCAACTGGGCTGAAACGTTCATAACCCTTTCAAATACACCATTTAGCAAAAAGAGCCTGCTATCCAGAGATATCACCTTGCAGACACCTTAACTGGCTACACACAGGACCTGACCATTACTGTAAGCTATTTGGGTTACAGCTCAAAATATCAACTTTATTTTTGAGCATTAAACAGAACTTTGACTCTTTTTTTCCCTGTCAAATTGTGACAGGGAAGAGCTACATCAGACTCCATGTTCCGATCCGTTTCTTAGACTTTAACCTTTGCTTTTCGTTGCTTTTGTTATTATAAACATACCTAATTGCCTGCCTCAGGGAACCCTGCCCACCTGTGGATGGCTGCAAGAAAGAAGAAACTAACACAGCCCCTCGCCAAGTCTGGTCATTCCAGAAGATGCTTTGCAAGACTGATGGCCCTTTTACTTTACTTCCTCACCACCTCTCCCTCTCTGATTCTGTCAAAGAAACTGGCATCCAGACCCAGATAAGATGGTTTTCCACAGACACCGGTCTGCCGGCTTTCCGAATAAAGTCGTATTCCTTGCCTCAAGACCTTGTCTCCGATGCATTGGCCTGTCATGCGGCGAGCAAAGCGAGCTTGGACTCAGTAACAAAAAGTTTTATGAGACGAGGACAACTAAGCTAAGATGCCTTGCCATGCAAGATCTCAACTTTCAATGGAGATGTCTCGGTCCACGTTATCTGAGTGAAACTGTCGTAATCATGCCAGCGAAATTTATTGAGACTTTATGTTTCAAAGCCACTGACATAATTTGTGCAAAAGTCCAAAGAACTGCATCCCAAGCTTTAAACAAAAGATATATACAACCAAAAGAATGCCAGTTAAGGTCACAAAGAGTGACCTTATATTTCGTATAATTTCCTGTATTATATAATTTCCTATATTTCCTATAATTCGAGCATGAAATGAATCAATAACAAAAGTGATCCTACAGTAAAGCAGTCAAGTTTTCCCTTGTTGACATTTCTACTTCATTTAGATGCATTGTTGTGTTTTTTTTTTTTTAAGAGTAGATGAGGGGCTTCCGTGGTGGAGCAGTGGTTAAGAATCCACCTGCCAATGCAGGAGACACGGGTTTGAGCCCTGGTCCGGGAAGATTCCACATGCCGCGGAGCAGCTAAGCCCGTGCGCCCCAACTACTGAGCCTACACTCTAGAGCCTGCGAGCTACAACTGCTGAAGCCCGTGCGCCTAGAGCCCGTGCTCCACAACAAGAGAAGCCACCGCAGTGAGAAGCCTGCGCACCGCAATGAAGAGTAGCCCCCGCTCGCCGCAACTAGAGAAAGCCTGCGCACAGCAACAAAGACCCAACGCAGCCAAAAATAAATAAATAAATTAATTAATTAATTTAAAAAAAAAAAAGAGTAGATGAGATTTGATTTTAGAGACATCTTGGCTGCTCAAGATGATACATTTTAAAATATGGATTTTTTTCTAACCTAATATAAAAAACAAATCAATCACTCTATTTTTATAATATCAAACAAATTTTTTTTGGTATTTAGATATAAATCGGCTCTTTGCTATTCTGCTAATCCACAAATACCGGAGGAAGAAAGTTAAGGCTTATAACTGGGAATATAGGTCATCATTTTCAAAAATAATATTTACAGCTCTGAACCCTAGGAAAATGATCAGTTGCCCATTGTCTGAAGGGGCCAAATGCATAATGCCAGAAATGCTAAAAGATACTATTTCTGTATCCTTTTTAGATGGCTAGGTGAAAATAATAATCCAATATGGTATCTTGCCAACCTAAGTTTTTATTCTTAATGCCATTTTTAATATAATTCCTTTTGAGAGACTTTTCCACTCCAAGCACTTTTCTCACCTTCTTCAAAAGCTTCTGGAAATCTCACTCTGCCCATGAAACCTTCCTATCAAGACACATAATGATATATATATAATTTTGCTTTATCAAAATTTTTTTAATCTTTATTGGAGTATAATTGCTTTACAATGGTGTGTTAGTTTCTGCTTTATAAGAAAGTGAATCAGTTATACATATACATATGTTTCCATATCTCTTCTCTCTGTGTCTCCCTCCCTCCCACCCTCTCTATCCCACACCTCTAGGTGGTCACAAACCACCGAGCTGATCTCCCTGTGCTATGCGGCTGCTTCCCACTAGCTATCTACCTTACGTTTGGTAGTGTATATATGTCCATGCCACTCTCTCGCTTTGTCACAGCTTACCCTTCCCCCCCTCCATATCCTCAAGTCCATTCTCTAGTAGGTCTGAAGACACATAATGATATTATCCAACCATTCCATTTAAAAAACAACACCTGGGCTTCCCTGGTGGAGCAGTGGTTAAGAATCCGCCTGCCAGTGCAGGGGACACGGGTTCGAGCCCTGGTCAGAAGATCCCACATGCCAGGGAGCAATTAAGCCCATGCACTACAACTGCTGAGCCTGCGCTCTAGAGCCCGTGAGCCACAACTATTGAAGCCTGCGTGCCTACAGCCCGTGCTCCACAACACGAGAAGCCACCGCAATGAGAAGCCCGCGCACCGCAACGAAGAGGAGCCCCTGCTCGCCGCAACTAGAGAAAGCCCACGTGCAGCAACAAAGACCCAACGCAGCCAAAAATAGATAAATTTTTTTTTTTTTTTTTTTTTTTTTTAAAAATAGATAAATTTTTAAAAAAAGAAATAAAAATAAAAAACAACACCTGGGACTAGAATTGAATTGGGGGCTTGTCTGTGCCTTGTGGTCACTGCAGCCTTAGCAATGACCACAAGGCACAGAAGACACAGTGGTGACAATTAGCTATGGTGACACTGGGCCTGGGCTGGAGCCCCTGGTACAAGTGCCCTGCGGTGCTAATCTCTCATCTCCGTGGCAATATTGCATTTGGGGTTTTTCTGCCACAGACATACACTGTGCCTGCCAGACTCAATTCCACAGACATCCTGCTTAGCTATCCTCAGAAAACGCAATTAAAATCAAACTTAAAGAAGGCTCGAAAAACCTGGTCTCCTTGCTGAAATACCAAATGAAAGGTCTGTAGAAAAATACAGCCTCTTCTACTTGCACTCCCCCTCCCATGTTTATTTCGTCTGCAAAACTGGGCCACTTATCAGAGACATAACTGGTTGCCGGCAAGAAGCTATCCCCCCAAACTGCAGGGCATGCTGGGTGACAGGAGGTGGCAGAAACTCAGAAATCCAGGAGAAGTTTCTCACCACCTTCCTGTCCCCAATGCCTAGGAGTCCAAAGACCTACTCTGAACAAGGACTAAACGGACTCAGCCAAGAATTGGGCTTCCCTGGTGGCGCAGTGGTTAAGAATCTGCCTGCCAATGCAGGGGACAAGGGTTTGAGCTCTGGTCCGGGAAGATCCCACATGCCACGGAGCAACGAAGCCCGCACGCCACAACTACTGAAGCCCGCGAGACTAGAGCCCGTGCTCCGCAACAAGAGAATCCACCGCAATGAGAAGCCCGCGCACCACAATGAAGAGTAGCCCCCGCTCGCCACAACTAGAGAAAGCCCACGCACAGCAACGAAGACCTAACGCAGCCAAAAATAAATAAATTAATTTAAAAAAGAGAAAAAAGAAGAATTAAGGCAAGTTCTCTGGGACCCAAAGGACGCAGGTTGGGTGGTGGTTTTAAAATATGACTGCAGGGTCTTTGACAGTTCCTTCCCATCAAGAGGTGGAATGTAAGTCTCCTTCCTTTGAATGTGGGCTGGCTTTAGGAATTTGCTTCTAATGAATAGAACACACCAGAAACAACACTGAGTTACTTCAGAGACTGGGTTAGAAAAGGTGACACAGCTTCCATCCAGCCCCCTCTGGGGACATTCACCCTGGGTGGGAACCCGGCCAACAGGCCCTGAGGAAGCGTCCACGTGGGCATTCTAGTCCAGGGCCTCTGCTGAGAGCCCAGCCGAGAGCCAGCATCAGCCACCAGACCTGTGCACGCGGAAGCCTTGGAGACGGCTCTACCCAGCTCCGTCTACACCCGGGAGACACCCCGAGGGAGAACTGACTGAGCCCACAACTCCCAGACCACGCAAGATGATAGCAATAAGAATAAATGGACATGGTTGTTTTATGCCACTGAGTCTGAGACAGCTTGCTGGGCAGCAAGAGGAAGAGAAGTAGTGAGGCAAAGGAGCATTTCTGGGGGTTGCAGGTCGAGCCCCGAGCGCCTGTCCCAACTGAGGAGCTCCAGCTGTGCTGAACGGGAGACAACCGGCCTGGACCCGCCCTGGCCAAGGCCCGGAGCCGCACTAACCCAGTAGGGAGCAGGCCTGGGCAGCCGCAGAGAGAGACCCCAGGTACGAGTCCTCCGCATAACCATGCTGGGGGCAACGCCACCTCCGGGAGCTCGAGGCTGCAGCCTGTGACCCTCGGAGCGGTCCCCATTGCTCCTCTGTGTTCAGGCCCGGACCGAGGGCATGAGTCCTGCCGCTCCTCCACGCAGGTCCCTCTGAGTTTCGGGAGGGGAGGGCCAGCTGCAGAACCAGCGGCGCAATTAGAACCGCTGAGCTGGAGGCCCACGAGGCCACCGAGGGCGAGAAGAAACACCGAAGCGCTTCCCACCTGAAGCTACTGAAGCACGCGTGGGAATCAGATCTGCAGCCCCGCTCATCATTCAGTTGCCTGGCACACCAAGAGCTAAATAATTTACTAATGCTTCTTTTCTTTAGAAACCTTTAACTCTCTAAAAGGAAACAGAAAAACAATGGCAGGAAGCTTTGCAATCCTCTCTAACATGACTGCTGTGAAAAAGGCAGATGTGTTATTTCACGTAGTAAAACTCCACCTGCTGGGAATTGAGGATTATGCCCTCGATACTTACCAAAGGCACGAAGCACATCATATAACCCTTTGCAACAGAAGAATTTAAGCAGTTTTCATAATGTTGTATCAAAGACAAAACTCCGGCAAAGAATCCCAACTGTGGCCACCAATTTCATGTTAACTAAAATTTTTCTCACCTTTCTGGAAAATGAACAGGTCTGGTAAAAATTACTAATCTTGGAAAACCATCATTTTATGCTAAAAGTGTAAGACTGGAATTCCTACTTTGAATGCAAAAAATGGAAATGCTTTGTAAGAACGAGAACTCCATATTGCTGCGGAGATAAGACCCTGTTAAAGTAGTTTAAGGTAAAAGTGAAAGATACTGAAGTAACTCTTTCCCTACCCATGCTGCACTGTGTCTTCTAACTGTGCTGCTGCACTTGGGTCCCTCTGGCACTTGCTCGGATTCTCGTTGTTTCTCCGCGTCTTAGTTATCTGACATGCAAGACAAAGCTAACAATACCAGCCACCCTGAAAAGTGGGTCTCAAGGAACGCAGATTAAAAAGGACTACAAAGCATTTCATAAATATTTAGATTTTTAAAGCCCTCGTTTGCCAAGTCCGCGGAATTCTCTCCATTTCATTACTTAAAACTCGAGTTGGCAAAGTTGTGATTTAAAATTTTTCATCTAGATGATTTACCTTTGTTGCTTTGTCCATTCTCCTTCTGGGATGAAAGAAGTTCAGGAAAACAGGCATTCAGGAGGCAGAACTCAGGGTATCTCACATTGTGTTGGCCAGTCTGAGAAAGGGCCCCAGCGTGGTAAAGAAGAAATCTCAGGACAGGGAAGGGCGCCTCTTAATGCTGCTATAAATAACTAAGACAGTTACCGACTTCTCGATTTTTGGTGACTCGTGACTCACAGATAAATCCTCCTCTATGCACCTCAAGAACCACTCTGTGAGTCCAACAGCCCCTAACTGGCCTCCTTCCCCCTTCAAAAGCCTTCCCCACAGCTACCAAAATGTTTGACTAAAAGTGCAAATCTGAATTCATACCCTTTAACGCTGTAACTTCAGTGCTAAAACGTTAGCCTAAGGAAATTGAGAATGGGATGAAGAGAGCATGGCGCGGTGACTACAACCACAGACTCTGGCACCAGACTGCCTCCTGGGTTTAAATCTCAGCTTCCACACATCTGGCTGCATGTCTGATGGCAAGGTATTTACCTGTTTTATTTGGGTTTTCTTAATTTAAAAAATATATATATTTATTTATTTATTTTTGGCTGCGCTGGGTCTTTGTTGCTGCGCGCTGGCTTTCTCTAGTTGCGGCGAGCGGGGGCTACTTGGTTGCGGTGCACGGGCTTCTCATTGCAGTGGCTTCTCTTGTTGCGGAGCTCGGGCTCTAGGTGTGCGGGCTTCAGTAGCTGTGGCACGTGGGCTTCAATAGTTGTGGCTCGCGGGCTCTAGAGCACAGGCTCAGTAGTTGTGGCACACGGGATTAGTTGCTCCGCGGCATGTGGGATCTTCCCGGACCAGGGCTCGAACCTGTGTCACCTGCATTGGCAGACGGATTCTTAACCACTGCGCCATGAGGGAAGTCCCTGGGTTTTCCTAATTTTTCTGGTAACAGCTTTATTGAGATGTAATTCACATATTATATACTTCACCCATTCAAAGTGTACATTTCAATGGTTTTCAGTACATTCACTGAGTTGTGCAACCATCACTACAATCGGCTGTGGAACATTTTCATCCTCCAAAAAGGAAACCCTGTGCCCGTCAGCAGTCACCACCCTCCCCAGCCCTAGGCAACCACTGTCTACTCTCTGTAGATTTGCCCCCTCTGGCCCCTTCATACAAATGGAATCATACAATATGCAGCCTTCTGGGTCTGGCTTCTTTCATTTGGCATCACGCTTTCAAGATTCATCCATGTTGTAGCACAGATCAGTCATTCACTCACTTTTACTGCCACGTAATATTCCGTTATATGGACAGACCACGTTTGGTTTATCCGTTCATCAGTCGATAGACATCTGGGTTGTTGGCACTTCTCAGCTATTTCAAACAATGCTGCTGTGAACGTTCACGTACAAGTTGCTGTGTAGACATATGTTTTCATTTCTCTTGAGTATACAGCTAGGGGTGGAACTGCTGGGACGTAGGTAATTTCTATGTTTAAACTTTGAGAAGACAACCTAGTTTTGAAGAATATTTAATGATATGAGGAAATTCTCTCTTCATTTGATTAAAAAAAATATTTAAAAATACACATACATATAGCTGCATATCCTCATTTATTGTAAACATTACATACTTTGGGGTGCATGTATGTACACAAATGCATTTCTGTGCTTTCCAAATTTTCTATAAGGAATATGATCAATTTTATAATCAGGAATAAAAAGAGTGTTTTTTTGTTTGTTTGTTTAGAAATGTAAACATAACCATGCTATTCTTCTTCTTAAAATGGTTCAAAGACTCCTCATTACTTACGGGACCTCATAGGAACCTTCGTGCCCTGGGTCTGCCTAATCTCTGACTCTCTCTCTCAACTCTTCTGCTCCAGGAATACTGAACGCTTCATAGTTTCCCAAACATACAGGCTCAGTGCTTTTGCACGAGCTGTTCCCTCTACCTGGAACTCCTGTCCCTCATTCTGTCTGCCTCACAGACTCCCATTTTACTGTTCAAAACTCCAACTTGCCTGAGACAACTATATCTTGGCCTTTTTTTTGTGTCCCTAATTCCTAGCACAATATTCAACCTAATATATGCGTTGAACTGAACTCCAAATATTTCCACATAACAAGGAAAAGAAAGGAATAATGTCTATAGTTACCTGCTAGACTTCAGTGTATTTGCTTCAAAGCATGTTGAACAGGATAAAAGGTAACAACTATTTGCAAACTATAATACTAACAGCTAACAGTCAGTAACACAAGCGCTTCCATGTGTTGGGCTGTTTTAAGCAAGTTTTTCATGTATTAACTCAATCATGTTATTCCAGTGAAATGGGTGCTATTATTAATATAACTAATATGATTTACTACGTAAAAAATTTCTTTTAGAATCTTTACATAATTCCCATTACCTTTTTAAGGAGAAACGCTTTTTAAAAGTGTATTAAAGTAATCATAAACCAAGGTGGAAAAGTCCTCATTTCACTGAAAACTGTCCTTTTATACGGAACTCTAAGAGGGAAAAGAATTGGGTATGCAAACATAATGGTATGTGGGCAGAGGGTAGTATTGGAACAAAACCTTAAAGGATATGAAAGCAGACAGGAGAGCTGTACTCAGCCCGATGGTGGGCGGTCTCAAGGCGAGGCTGAGGACTTGAGTACAGGCCACAGGGAGCCACTGGAGGCTTAGGAAGCTGAAGCAGGAGAGACATGCCATGAAATCCCAGGGATTTCAATTCAAAGAGTTCAATTAGGAAAAGAGAGTCCAGTGCTTTGGAGTTAGAACGGAAGCAGAAGCTATTATGCAGCACAGCGGCCTAAATGTTTTATTAAAATAAACAAAACAAACACCAACCTTACAATTCAAAATGCTATATTCTTGTTATGAAATAACTTTTGATACATTCTTGTTCAGAATAAAAGGAGATGAACGTCCTTAGAGACCCATGAGCTTTGGGAAATCAGCCTCCCACGGGCCGGGCGATCCGTGACATTCTTCCCCGGACAAGCTCCATTTACACCTGCTGCCTGGTCCTCTGTCCGGGCAGTGTTCCCTTTTTACTCTCAAAAGTGTCCCTATTTAAATTGGATTGTGGTGATGGCTGCACAACTCTATCCATTTGCTAAAAATCATTAAATAATGCACTTACCATGGGTAAATTTCATAGTGTGTAAATTATACCTCAGTAAAGTTGTTTTTTATTTATTTATTTTTAACATATTTATTTATTTATTTGGCTGTGCCGGGTCTTAGTTGTGGCACTTGGGATTTTTAGTTGCGGCATGTGGGATCTAGTTCCCTGACCAGGGATCGAACCCGGGCCCCCTATATTGGGAGCACAGAGTCTTAACCACTGGACCACCAAGGAAGTCCCAACAAAGTTGTTTTATAAAAGTCCTAATTTGAGGCTTCCCTGGTGGCGCAGTGGTTGAGAGTCCGCCTACCGATGCAGGACACATGGGTTCGTGCCCCGGTCCGGTTAGATCCCACATGCCGCCGAGCGGCTGGGCCCGTGAGCCATGGCCGCTGAGCCTGCGTGTCCAGATCCTGTGCTCCACAACGGGAAAAAGTCCTAATTTGAGTGACAAGTTATATATGACTTGTCCATACGCCACGGCCTCAAGGCCTTAAAAGTGACTAGCTGATCTTCTGCGAAGGACAATTCTTCCAAAGAGTTATTTTTCAAGAAGACAGACATTTTTTTTTTCCTACTCAGACAGCTTCTCATCACACGACATGAAAATAGGACCCTCGCCGCGTCTCAGAGACCCAACGCCATAGAAGTCAATCCTTTACAGCAGTGGTCCCCAACCGTTTTGGCAGCAGGGACGGTTTCGTGGAAGACAATTTTTCCACGGATGGTGAGGGCGATGGCGTGGGTGGTGATGCGAGCGATGGGGAGCGGCGATGAAGCTTCCCTCACTCGCCCGCCGCTCACCTCCTGCTGTGCAGCCCGGTTCCTAACAGGCCGCGGACTGGTTGGCACGCGCCCCCATTAACGCTTAATTCGCTCTTAAGTATGAAAGCAGCACGACCACAACTATCCCTATTTGAGGACATCTAGGCCAGTGAGCTGCTCTAACACCATAGGTGGCCTCCATATGCTTCAAAAGGATACATATAATGTTAAAAGCTTCGGCGTGTTACTGGCTTTAAAAATTAAACCCAGAAACCTTTCCAACTTCAACTTTAATTCTGGAGTCCAAGGATCCTGAAGGAAAGGAAAAAAAAAAAAAACAAGGAAAAAAAAGAAAAGCACTAGATCATTAAATGCCAACAAACATTGTCAGGTTGTGGCCTTTAGGGTTAAATAACTCCACCACAGTTACTGAAATCAGAAGCAAGATGTCTTGCCAGTGGTGTGATGCTGTAAAAACCAGGTTTTAGGACATTTCACCAATTCACTTATAGAAGATTCGAGAGCCCACAGCAGGAGGAAAGAAGAGAGTACTTTCATATACAGAGAAAAAATAACCCTGTACATGATTTGAATTTTTCATGTGATTTAAACACAAGCCTGATAAGTAAGCTTATTACGTTGAATACCCAAAATAATGCAGTATGGTTTAGGCATACGTGGCACTGGCAGGAATATACAATTATCGCTACGCTACTGAGAGTCTCCAGAAGAAGGAGACTCATTTCCATAAACCTCATCCAGACAAGAAAAGCAGAAAGAAGCTGTTATCTGCCTCAAATACTCCATCATGTCCAGCATTATGACGTACATCTAGTTTGATCTGCTCCTTAAAAATAAATTATTTATCTCAAATAATGCTCATTGAGAAGGAAAAAGTAATGACTCACGAAGTAAAAGAACAAGTGTCACAAGCAACGATCTTTCTCAGGACAATTTTTCTGAGTCTTCAGACAAAAATATCGACCACCTAAACCAAGAAGTTCCACTAGAAAGAAGCTCTGTCACTAAAAGCTCAGGTCCACTTACCTCTGAGATCCTGCCCCATCTCCCCCAGATCTGCCCATCCTTCCCCATTTCTCCGCCCAGCTCTAATCCTCATCCATGCCTCCCACCCCACCCCATCAGTCCATCCAGTGCGTTGTCTGACCCTCTGAAAAAACACTGCCAGAAAAGCAGAAAAGTCTGATATTTTAAAAAGATTTTGTAATTCCCCGACACAGCATGATGACTTCATTTCTCATGTGTGTGTTGTGGGTTGAATTGTGCCCCCTAAAAGGACATGTTGAAGCCCTAATCTCCTCATAATGTGAGGCCAGGGAAACGGGGACATTGCAGATGGAATTAGCTATTAGTGTAAGCTCTTAATCCAATATGACTGCTGTCCTTATAAGAAGAAGGGAATTTAGACACAGACACAGAGAGAAGATGGCCACGTAAAGACAGAGCAGAGATCTGGAATTATTCAACCACAAGCCAATAGACACCTGAGGCTACTGGAAGCTGGAAAAGGCAAAGAAGCATCTTCCCCTAGAAGCCTCGGAGAGAGCACGCCCCTGCCGATACCCTGATTTCAGACTTCTGGCCTCCTAAACTGTGGGACAATAAATTTCTGTTCTAAACCACCCGGTCTGTGGTCCTTTGTTATAGCAGCTGCAGGAAACTAATAGCGTGCTCCAGCTCAAGGCTCTCTGTGCTCAACCATATAGAAAAGAATCTCAGGAAAGGACTGCTAGATTGGCCAACATAAACGAAGACGTCTTAAAAAACAAAACAAAATAAAATATTTGGGTATCCCTAGACACACTGCAGTGAAATTATACAATCTTAAAGGCCAAAGAAAAAAGACAGACCACGTACAAAGGAACAGCAATTAGACTGACGGCCAACTTCAAAATTGCAACAGTGGGAGCCAGGAGATGAAATAAAAATACCTTCAATGTCCCAAAAGAAAGTAACTGTCGGTTCCAATACAGATGTTAAAAAGAAAAAAAAAAAAGAAAACAACTGTCAGGACTTCCTGGCAGTCCAGTGGTTAAGACTCCACACTCCCACTGCAAGGGGCAAATAGTCTGATGGTAATATAGTACACAATCAGGTAACCAAATATATACCAAGTAAGTGAGAATTTTAACACAAATCAAAATATTCATAGCCAGTGATTGTGTAAAGCAGCCTAGTTTTTTTTCAGGCTACTAATTTTCATCGTAATTGAATAAGTTATTGTTTCAATACCGCAGAAGTATACACAGAATGATTTAAGAGGTTAGTATGTTTTAAAATATTTTGTCAGTTCTGGGCTAACAAGTCTTGGTGCAACAACAAAAAAGCACACTTTATAGCACAAGAAAAGTTGGTTAAAGCAAATTACCTGTACATTCTTTTCAAATACAACAAAACATAAGCAAATTTTAGCCTTTTTACAGCATCATTCAGAAAGCACCAATGTATACAAGGTGAGACTGCCATGCTGCCCAGGATCTGGGACAAGGTTCGGAGGTGGTCACTTACCTGGAAAAGCTCTTTAAATGAGGGGTGGACCATGGGATTGGGAACAAAAGGCAGGGCATAGAAAGGGAGGAACTCCGTGGTCTGGCTCAGCGCTGCCCCTTTGGTCTCCAGGTAGGTTTTGAAATAAGAAATCCTTTCATCCAGTTCCTCTTTGTCCTGCGAGGAAGGGAGGATGCTCGTTTGAGATCTCCTGCTTGACGCCAGCTCACGTGTTCACCTGTCCTCTCTCCGAGGTTCCTTCAGTTCCAGCCACGTCGCTGGCATCCTCCCTGTCTTGCCCAGCCTGCGTGCCGTCACCAGTCATCCTAACATCACCCCTATTTCGCCCCTTCGTGAAACTGTCAGGAATATCAGAGAACTAGATATATGATACACACAGTTCAAATGCTGCCTTTTCAATCTATCGTTACCATTTTCTCATATCCTTAAAATTCTTCATAAACATCATTCTTAATGGCAGGACAAAACCTCATCTCGTGGGTCTATCATAATTTATTTAGCCAATTCCCCCATTATTAGATATGCACATTGTTTTCATAGCTCAGATATCAGAAATAACTATTTGTCTGCATTGCTGTGATTTCCTTACGAGAGGTTTTTAAGGGTGAACAGTTACTGTTTTTAACATGGAACGCTTCACGAATGTGCATGTCATCCTTGCGCAGGGCCATGCTAATCTTCTCTGCGTCGTTCCAATTTTTTTTTTTTTAGTATATGTGCTGCCGAAGAGAGCACTTAAAGGTGAATAGTTTTTTGAAACGGAAGTTTTCCGTATCATCATTCCTTTCCTTTATTAGGCTAACTAAGAAGTGATCCTGCCTGCTTCGCTGCTTCCAGGTGTAATCCCAGGTAAGTCGGGTCCCCCGCCAGGGTTTCCATTTTCTCCTGGGCCTCAACGAGAAGGTCCACCCTGGCCTCGCCTGTTACGTCCCTCACAGCCTCATACACAGGCCAATTTTTCTCATCAGTGCATCTCACTTCACCTACACCGTGAAGCCCACTGGACTTAAAAAATTTATTGATCTTTTTATCTTACAGAAAAATGGAAAAATTAGAAAATAAAAATAAATACAAAGAAAATGAGAAGTCTCCCACAACGTCACCCACAGGAGTCCTATCTTAAGGAACAGCCTTCCAAGAATGGCTACCACAATGTGCTGTAAAGCTGCTCCTCGACCACTGAGCCTTCCTGTGGCCCCCTGACATTTAATAAGTTAACACAGGTCCCGGGGGCAGTAGCCAAGGCATGGAGAAGCCACGAAACAAATGTGCGTGGTCCGATGTCAGCCTGGCCTGCTCCCCTTCTGTCATTCTCTCCGTGCCCCAAGGTTCACCTGCAGAGAAGTTTGCAGCTGCTCCCCTCTCCCCTTCATAGCTCCAGTCCCACACTTGCAGGAAAAGACTGCAGAAGCTAAATTCGACTTATCACTCAAATGAACTTTCACAGACGGGCATACCATTTTTCCACTGTTTAAGCTTAAATTTATCTTCTAATATATGGTCGAAAATGTGGTCTAAACACGTATTTTCTTAGACATACATGTCGAGGTATTCAGGAAAATGATGTAGCTTTCATAACAGAAGTGATTAACTTTCCATGCAAATTAGAAAATAAACTGCTGGGAATGAGACAGAAAATCATTCATCAGGATGTAAGACGCCTACTCCTTAGAAGCAATATGATAAAATGGCCACAAAACTAAATTAATCCTCATTTGCAAAACATAACACATTCTCCTTTAACACACCATTTGGACCAACCCACGCCATAAGGTGAACCTACAGGTCTCCCTGTGGAGTGTTTCAGAAGATAGATGGCAAAATGGATGTGTAGGTAGAATTCCAACTTCTGGGCGAGGGAGTCGCCAGCCCGGATGGAACTGGGAATGTGCCCCTCCCACAAATCGAAGAACACCTTCTGGTCTCCACTGTCAAACGCAGCAAGGAGGTCCTTCTGTGGAGAAGACATCAGAGTGAAGCCTGGTCATAGGGGTGCCCCTTCTCTCCACACCCCGAATCCTCACACCCTCCCACTACCTTGGATACCGGTATACTCCATCGTTTCAGTGTGAGCAAAATTAAATCTCCTTTTCAGAGGTAAGGGATAGGAAAATAGAGACCCAGAGGGCTTCAAACTGCCTAGGCTACAGACCGACCTGGATTTCCACTGCTCTGCAACGTCAAATCTGACCATTCTAAAGAACAGACACAACATTTAAGGTCTCTGAGATGGAAGGAATCAGGCATAGGCCAAAGATTGAGCCCAGAGACTCACAGGCAAGTGAATACATTGAGGTCGCCCTTTGGACTTGCTGACCCACTGCACGCAACTGATGAGAACAGGCCAGACCCAGAGCCCAGCCAGACCTCAGTGGAACAACCTCATACCTATGGCAAGTTGCTGACACCACAACTGCCAAGTCCCTGAGCGCCTGGGAGCTCAGCCACACGGAACAGTCGGTCCCAGGCCTGGGAGGTGGGTGCTGTCACGTGCCTGCTGTTGCTAGAAGCATGTCTGGCGGAGAGGGCAGTGTGGGAAGCAACCACAGAGCCCAACACATGCAGGTAGTGACTGCCCGGGCCCTCCCGTTCCAGGAACAAGGAAGCCTGGGCTGGAGATGGAGGAGGGCGCACAGGCCTGGCACCAACCCGACTTCGGAGCTGTGCCAGTCTGACTATGTGGGGCAGAGACAGCTTCCCAACTCGCCATGCAGTAGCTGAAACAGAGAATTCTGGAGAAAGGTGGTGGCAGTTCCCATGTCACCTGTCTCACAGGAAAAATGACAACTGATACATCACAAATAGCTGCTGCGCAATTCTGCAGATTTAGGTATAAGGCGGAATCACAAGAACTTCCTGTGACTCATATTGTTTTCCTTTTTGTATCAAATGCCCAAGATCCTCAGACCTACATTTTGTGCTCAACTGCAAAAGCTTTTCTTGGAGTGCATTTTCTATAGAATCACCAGTTCCCCAACCCATCACCACCACTATTTACCACCATTATTTGGTCATTGTTCTTTTATACTTTTTTTAATGGTTTTACATTTTTTCTGTAAAACTGTCTTTTTTTTTAAGGTTACACATTCTATTTGTTTATAATCAAACTTTTTAACATTATAAAATAGAAATGTACAGAGAACAATGTTACATTGTTTGGTCATCCTTAAGCCAAAGACATTCACTGATAAGGAATCTTCCACTGTGAATCTTACAAAAATGTTCTCTATGTCACGTGACCGAGAACAACTGTCTCTGAATATTACCTTAGTCTGGAAGGGATTGGCATACATTTGAAAGAAACTCAGAATGTTTCAAAATAAGCCCTAGAGTGAAATTCTACCTCTTCAAAACTGGCCTTTCTGTCTCTCAGCCCTGGAAACAGCGAAGGACAGCTGGTCAGCAACTGCAGGCAGGGCGGGTAGCAAAGTAAAGCAGAGGCAGCTAAGCACCGCCACCTCTGGAAGAACCTGGGGGAACCTGGCCAGAGGCTCCCCTTTTCTCGTCACTAACTGATGCAAAGGTGGAGGGGAGCCTCCCAAGGGTGTGCTGCTGGGGCCCGGCCCCGCCCCAGGCTCACCTCGGCTGAGCTCTGAGCGAACCCCGCGAGCCACTCTGCGGAGGACTGTCCTGCGAGAGGTCCAGGGACTGTGTGAATGAGGTGACCGCAGACTCTCGTGGGTATTTTAAAGCCTGGAGTCAAGGTACTTTCTTAACATGGTTGGCAAAGGAGGTCTATGTGCCCAATGGCCCATCTACACTTTATTCTAAACTCTACCTTTGTAGACCTGGGACTACAAACCTTTGCCGTGCCACTATACTCCCAGTTTATGAATCATATTCTGTACCTGGAAATGGTCCCTGCGTTGAAAGTAATATCTACACATAAAGCAATCCAGTGTTACAACTCATAGGGTCACAAAATATTAACTTCTCAAATATAAACCATGATCACAGCCAGCATTATGAAGATCAGAAAATTTACACACCACCAATAATCACCTATAAACACACACACACACACACACACACACACACACACACACACACACTCACACATTCTTACAGAACTGTGCTTAGGGAAACTCTCCCTTTGCTGAGTGCCAACTTCACAAATGTCCCTAAGTCACTGCTCCAGGTATTTTTGTTTGGGAAATCTGTAATGGCAGGACACAGCTGTTTATTGAATGAGCAGAAAAGACAGGCTTCTCACAATCAGAAAGTTTCAAGGTCTTTCAAGTTAAGTACAGCCTCTGTTTCCATGTCTAGTAATGACTAGATTCTTGTTTCACGTTCTGAAAAGTTTGCTCCAGGGCTGGCGGTATCATCAGGCTGCCCGGTGCATCACTGACAGAAGAGCCTGTGTCTGAAGTGGCGGTAGCTCAGAATCCAGGTGCGTGGGGACTGGAGGGGCACTGCGCTGGGGGCCACTGCGATGGTGCCCCCGCTCAATGGCACCCCGTGCCAGCCAATGCGGAGTCGGGCTGTGGCCTGACCTCCAGCTACTCAGTGGGACTCTCAAACAGTCTCATATTTTTCTTAGAAGTATGTATATTGAAACAAATAAAATTATTAAAATAATAAAATCATGCAAAGCTGAAATACGCTGCCTCAGGAAACGGTATGTTCTCTTGTCACTGGATGTATTCACGGTGAATCAATCACTTACCTAGGATGTTACGAATGGGATGGAGCATCAAATAATGGTTGAAATGAGGACTTTTAAGATCCTGTCTAACCCTGAGAGTTGAGGACCATGTAATATGTGCCCTTTGCAGCCCACTGCCACAGGCTCACCGCTACCCAGGCCTTGCTTTGAAAGGATGCTGCCTTGCATATGGCTCTCGCTCCCTGTCCCCTCCGACCTCCCCAACCTAGAAGGCAAGCACCATGAGGGCAGAGATTTTGTTTTGTTTTGTTCGTTGCTGTGTCTCCAGTACCTGGAATTCATAACCTAAAACTCCTCAGAATGGGGACCACATTAGTCTTAGTTTCTAAGCATTGCACGGTTTCTTCTTGCCAAGAAATGTATGTAAAAGATCTTATGTTGCCACCCATTTCCTAGGATACAGAGATTTGAAAATGACATTACTCATTTATCCATAAACATCTGCACAGTCCAAGAGTCACTGTGCCCAGGTCCCCAGAAATACTCCAACATTCTCTAGTGGCAGCATTTCTTACAAATTTGGAGCACCTTGATTATCTACAGAAATCAAAAAAAGTAAAATGTTACCTGGATTATCGATGATTTGGAGTCCCTTAAAGAGCCACATGCTGGTTTAGATAACGGTTTTCCTTTTATTTTGCATTCTTTTGAAAATGTTTTCAAGGTGTCTTCAAATTCGGCAAAATCTAAATACTATTTTAAAAAGCGCATAAATGTATACATATTTCTCTGTTTTAACATCAACAAAGTAACCATCTTTGATGTAATTGTACCAGCTCAATATTATCACAAAATTTATAATGGGGTTAATGAACTGTCATCTTTGGGAGAAGTAATTTGGGATCCAGCTTAGAATTTACTTACTGATACACACACTAAAAAACTAGAAAGACAGTATCATAGAAAACATTTATTTACAGAAAATAAATTTGTTTTTAGAAGGAAAATGTGAGCTGCATTATAATTTAGTTTTTAATTTTGGCCCCGTCGCATGGCTTGCGGGATCTCAGTTCCCCAACCAGGGATCGAAACCATGCCCTCGGCAGTGAAAGTGCAGAGTCTTAACCACTGGGCCACCAGGGAATTCCCTTATTATAATTATTAATAGAAAATAAGATGATATGTGCAGCAGCCTGAAAAAGGCAAAAGTGATCAAAGGACCTGATGGCTTTGGGTCTAGTAGGTCTCTGGGAATTTGTTACTTGAAACAGAGGGATTAGAGGTAATGCTTGCCCCTAAGAACAAAAGGTAAGTCATTAAAAGATGGGCAAAGTCATCAGCCACCTTCAAGCACTAATGATCCCCACCCCACCCCGTCTTGAAACGCCCCTCTGCCTTGTGTTAGTGACATGCATTACTTCTACTGCTGCTCTCCACACTTCTCAGTTTGTGTCAGTCGTAACTTTCTGTTTCCACCTCCTCTAACTGTGGCTATTTCTCCAGGCCCTATCCACAATCCTCTGCTGTGACAGCTTTGAAAATTTATTCATGATCACAGCAAATTCCAAAGCTGCATTCCCAGGGTGGATGCCGTATCCTTGCTCCACGGCCATGTCTCTCAACGCCTACTGGACAGTTCAACCACACAGTAAAACAGTAGCAACCACTTCTTTAGCACCAACTCCACGCCAGCCCCTACTACAGGCAGCAGAGAATACCAAAAAGCATAAGGTGTGGGTCTTATCCTTCAAAAGCTTTCAGCGTAGGACACCTAAATGTCCATTAATAGGCAACAAGTTAAATAGATGATGATGCAGCCACTCAGTGAAATAGTCTACGGCATTCAGAAGTATGAGGCAGATCACGGGAAGAGGTTCATACTGTACTACTGTTGACAGGTGAAAGGCAAGCTGCAGAACGATGTGTGTGGTATCATCACATTTTGTAAAACAAACTATAGTCGCGTGAATACATTTTGAATACTCATAGAAAAAAGTCTGGAAAGGTGATATACTAAGCCATTAACAGTGGTCACTGCAGGAGGGAAATTCACTGTTTATACTTCTATACTGTTTGAATCTGTTACCATGAGCATGGGCTGCCTTTATAACTTTCTTTAAAGGAATTCTAAAAAGCAGCTTTACAATTTCAGTTTAGTTATGAAAACAAAATATAAATACATGGAAAATTATAAAAAGGAAAACAGATAACTGTAATGTAATGATAGAAACATTACAAGGCATTACAGAATTTCCTGCATTGTAAAATACAAGTTTTACAAGTTTTCAAGATCTTTTTCTGTGACCTGTGTTTTGTAAAACATACCTCTTTCACTAGTCCAAGTAATTCTGATTCATGAGCCAGAATGTCCCCCATATTGAACCGTTACTGTTAATTCTCACAGCAAAAGTCTCTACAAGGCAAAAACATAAGACAAAGGCTATCATTCCAACTATCTGTAAAATAACAGAAAGATAGCTGTAGTGGGCAGAATAATGGCCCCCATGTCCTAATCCCAGAACCTGTGAAAATATTAGGTTGCATAGAAGGGGTGGATTAAGGCTACAGATGGAATTAACGTTGCTGATCAGCTGACCTTAAAATAGGGAGAGTAGCCTGGATTATCTGGGGGACCCAACATAACCACAGGGGTCCTCATCAGGGAAAGAGGGAAGCAGGAAGGTTAGCGTCAGAGTGACGCAGTGGGAGAAAGACTCAACCCGCCGTTGCTGGCCTTGAAGATGGAGGAAGGGCCGGGAGCCAAGGAATGCGGGCGGCTTCTAGAACCTGCGAAAGGTAGTCAACTGACTCTCCTCTGGAGCATCCAGAGAGGAACAAGCCCTGCCAACACCTTGAGTTTAGTCCTGTGAGACCCATTTCAGCCTTCTGACCTCCAGAACTGTAAGACGATAAATCTGTGTTGTTTTAAGCCACTAAATTTATGGTAATTTATTACAGTAGCACTAGGAAATACAGTGGCTAAAGTCAAAAGTAATTCTCTCTTCTATGACAACTACTTAAAATGAACGTGATCAAGGACTGGAGGGTGGTATAAATGAGACAGTCAAGGATTGCTGGTGAGAGGCAGGAAGATTATTTTCCTTATTTAGAGTTTTCTAAAGTGCTATCACGTGGTATGTGTAATTCAAACAGTCAAGAGCATAAAGTGTACTTGGAACAAAATAGAGTGTAATGACAAGGTCAATTCGTTTACTTTAAGAAAGGATACGCACTAGAATTAGTCTCATGGAAAAAACACAGAGTCACTAATCCCTCGCTCTGCTTCCAAGTAAAAAACATTAAACCCAGAAATAGAGTCACAGATGTAGAAAACAAACTTATGGTTACCAGGAGGGAAAGTGGGGGGACGGATAAACTGGAAGATTGGGATTGATATATACACAATACTATATGTAAAATATATAACTAATAAGGATCTACTGAATAGCACAGGGAACTCTACTCAATACTCTGTAATGACTTATATGGGAAAAGAATCTTAAAAAAGAGTGGATACATGCATATGTATAACTGATTCACTTTGCTGTATGAAACTGAAACTAACACACTGTAAATCAACTATACTCCAATAAAAAAATACAAAATAAAAAGTTTCTAAAAAATGCAAAAAAAAAATTAAACAGTCACAAAAAGATATCAGGTACTACTTAAAAGAAATCTTTTTTTTTTTTTTTTTTTTTTTGTGGTACGTAGGCCTCTCACTGTTGCTGCCTCTCCCGTTGCGGAGCACAGGTTCCGGACGCGCAGGCTCAGTGGCCATGGCACGCGGGATCCTCCCGGACCAGGGCACGAACTCGTGTCCCCTGCATCGGCAGGCGGACTCTCAACCACTGCGCCACCAGGGAAGCCCCAGAAGAAACCTTTAATGTCACCCGAAGTCCACAGTCATTCGGCCTTACACTACCGGAAGAGGAGGTGGTGTGCATTTACACAACTGTTAACACAAGGTTCATACACCAGAGAATTTATTAGGTCAGTTTTTTAAAAATTAAGTGCAAGAATGTCCAACATCTTTTATATTTTCAAAACACTTAAATAAATAAAACGTCATGAACTTTTTAAAAGTAATTCTTTCTTCTCTTCCTGCCACCCCTCCCCAAGGTGTACCCAAAGCAGCCATTCCCTGGATCCCACTCCCAGTCTCCTCCCCGCGGCTGGTTGCCCATAACCTCAGAGGAATTACAAAGCCTGGGCTCTAATGCTAACTCTGCCATTCACTGGCACCTGATCTGGGGCACATCACTGGAACCTGTTTCTATCTGTAAAATAAAATGGAGAATTTATCAGATCTCTTCTAGTTCTAAGAATGCATGATTTGGGACTTCCCTGGGGGTCCAGTGGTTAAGACTCCACGCTCCCAATGCAGGGGGCCCAGGTTCGATCCCTGGTCAGGGAACTAGATCCCATGTGCATGCTGCAACTAAGAGACTAAGAGTTCACGTGCCACAACTAAGGAGCCCTTGAGCCGCAACTAAGAGCCAGTACAACCAAATAAATAAATAAATATTAAAAAAAAAAAAAAGAATGCGTGATTCTGTAACCTTACATTTTTCTGCCCATAACAGTGCATTCAGTTTGAAATATTTGAACACAAGTCCGGAAGACGAAATTTAGAAATCTCCCCCTTTTCATTCTCTCTGTCTCCCCATCGCTGTCTCGTGCCTTTGTCTCTCCCAAGGTCCCTCCACACCACCTCCCATCACCTCCCTCTCCACCTCACTCCAATGTCTAAGCTACAACAAGGGATCTTTCCCCTCCTGTTCTCGACCCTCCCGTGGTTCCACCTCTAGATGAAGGCCAGGCTCCTTCGGCCCAACTCTCATCTCAAAGTCTACACCACTTGGCCTCTAACACTCTTCCTTTTGCTCCATAGGCTTGAGCCACGTGGGCCACCGTGCGGGTTCCAGCGCACACCCGCTGGACCCGCCCTGCACATGCCTGCCCTCCCTGAGGGCTCTGCTTTCACTGCCCCCTCTGCCTCGTGGGCCCTCCTCCAGGCATCCACATCCCACTCAAGTCTCTGCTTCAAAGTCACCCCCTCAGAGCCTTGCCCTGACCACCCTCTCTAAGGAGCCAGCCCTCGGTCACTTCCTACCCTTTCTGCTGCTTTACGTTTCTCAGCAGCACTAAGCACCCCCTGACAGGAACATCCTTCCATTAACATATCTGCTCACTGTCGCTCCCACCCCGGGGTACAGATTCCACGAGGAAGACACGCGTTCACTTGGCATCCCCAGTGACTGGACCAGTGCCTGGCACACTGTGGGTGCTCAAAATTACTTATTGAGCGAATGGAAAGAATTTCAGATATGAAGAAAATACGGCAAGGAAGGAGACAGAGCACGGAGGAGAGGAGTCTGGGGACATTTTAGAAAGGGTGGTCGGGGGACTTCCCTGGTGGTTCAGTGGTAAAGAATCTGCCTAACAATGCAGGGGAGGTGGGTTCGATCCCTGGTCAGGGAAGATCCCACATGCCGCAGAGCAACTAAGCCCTGCGCCACAACTGCCGAGCTTGCGCTCTAGAGCCAGCGAGCCACAACTACTGAGCCTGTGTGCCACAACTACTGAAGTCCACGTGCTGCAACTACTGAAGATCGTGTGCCTAGAGCCCGTGCTCCGCAACAAGAGAAGGCACCGCAATGAGAAGCCCACGCACCGCAACGAGGAGTAGCCCCTGCTAACCGCAACTTGAGAAAGCCCGCGTGCAGCAACGAAGCCCCAATGCAGCCAAAATATGAAAAGAAAAAAAAAGAAAGGGTGGTCAGAGGAGGCCTCCCTGGGAACAGGAGTGGTGAGCAGAGATGTGAGAGAGCAGGCACTTCCCAGACCTGTGCAGACGGATTTGCAAGTGCTAAGGCTGCAGGTGCTGGGGCAGGGGTGCCGCTAGGGCAGAAGAGCAGGCAGGCTGTGGAGGCAATGAGGTGCCAGGGCCCAGTCCAGTAGGACTCGTGTAGGGGACTGGCCAGGCCGTTAGCCGGGCACAACGGGAGGCCGGGAGGGGGCTGACCCAACCTGGCTCACGTCTTGTAAGGAGCGCCATGTCTGCCGGGCCAAGAAGAGACTGCAGGGCCCCATGAGAGGAAACGAGTGATAAAGGGAGTTCGGACGAGCGGTAGGAACCTGTGAAGTGTTCTGGTTCCAGGTGTAAAGGCAGAGGTGGCCGGCTGCTGCTGGGCTGGATGCAGCATGTGCGGCGACAAGGTGAAGGGCGACACCTGGGGCCTGCGCAGTTGGGTGAAGAGTAAGCCACTCGCTGATCTGGGGAAATTGGGGAGGGACGGTCTGAGAGCTAAATCAAGAGTTCCGTTCCGGCCCTAAATCTGAGATGCAGAGCCGGCATTCAAGCGGGGGCGCTGAGAAGGCTGATGGAGTGAAGGCAGCAGCGGGAGCCGGGGAGGAGCGTCCGGAAGTCGGCCGCGCAAAGATGGCGGTTCGGCAGATGAGCGCGGTGACTGATGTGACCCCCGCCCCGGGCAGAAAGTGCAGCTGGAGAGGAGGACAGGCCCAGGCTGAGCCCTGGGGTCCTCGGTACTGCGGGGTCAGCGAGACGGCAGACTAAGCAAGAACAGAGACTTGCTGGGAGACACGACCAGGACACTGTGCCACTCTGGAAGCCCAGTGAAGGTGCTTCCCACGTCAGCTGCGCCTGCGCGTGGTCAAGGGCGATGAGGACAGGAGAACTAATCCCTGGATTTGGCAAAATGGAGTCTGGCTGTGACCTTGATAAGAGCAGTGAGGACATGTGCCTGACTGGAAAGGGTTAAAGAGAGAAAGGGAAGTAAGGAAGGAGAGACAAAAAGGACAGGAGAGATGGCAAGGCGGCTGGAAAGAGATGGGAGGTTTTTTTTTAAGAAGGAAGATGTTGTAAGCAGCGTGTTTGTATGTTGATAGGAGTGACCCAGTTAGAGAAGGAAAAGTGGATGAGGCGGGAGAGAGAGGAGATGGTTAAGGAAGCAATGTCCTTGATGCGGCCAGTGTCCAATGAGGGCCGGGCCTCACACAGGCATGGGGACAGGACATCTCCTGACACAGAGGGATGGCAGAGGATATGGGTAGTGACCAAAGAAATGGGCAGATTTAGTGATGAGAAGCAAAACAAGAAACAAGGTCATCAGCTGAGAGCAAGAAGCAAGTTGGTAGTTTGAAGAGAAGGGAAGGTGGGAACCAAATCAACTATGGAAACACGGCAGGATTTCCAGTATTGAGAGTCTGCTTAAGATACATAGACTCGAGGGACTTCCTTGGTGGTCCAGTAGTTAAGAATCTACCTTCCAATGCAGGGACATGGGTTTGATCCCTGGTCGGGGAACTAAGATCCCACATGCTGTGGGGCAGGGGTCCCCAACCCCCAGGACTCAGACCAGTACCAGTCCGTGTCCTGTTAGGAATCGGGCTGCACAGCAACAGGTGAGCGGCAGGCGAGTGAGCGAAGCTTCATCTGCTGTTTCCCACCGCTCCCCATCGCGTGCATTACCGCCTGAACCATCCCCCACACCGTCCATGGAAAAATTGTCTTCCACGGACATGGTCCCTGGTGCCAAAAAGGTTGGGGACCTGCCGTGGGACAACTAAGCCCGCGCTCTGCAACTACTGAGCCTGCGCACTCTGGAGCCCGCACGCCACAACTAGAGAGTACATGCGCCGCAACTACTGAGCCCACGCACTCTGGAGCCCGCACGCCACAACTAGAGAGTGCATGTGCCGCAACTACTGAGCCTGCTCACTCTGGAGCCCGCACGCCACAACTAGAGAGCACGTGTGCCGCAACTACTGAGCCCGCATGCTCTGCAGCCTGCATGCCACAGCGAAGGACCCCCCTCACCCATGCCGCAACAAAGATCCTGTGTGCCGCAACTAAGACCCGACACAGCCAAATAGATAGATAAATAATATTAAAAAAAAATACATGGACTTGAATCCCAAACAGAACCAGTCTGCACCATTTTGCACTTTTCTCCAGCCACTTGCAGCTGTCTGAGTTAGGTTAACAGGGTGCGGCTTTTGCAGGACAGGGGAAAGAGAAAACAAGCATAACAGCGATGGAGCATTGGAGTTAAGCTACGTTAAAGATGGGGGGAGGGAAGGTGCATAAGGGGGTTGAAAGGCAGTGAAAAAGTAATGGGGTCAGAGGCACATCAAAGTGAGCTTGAAAGACAGAAGGTGGTGCTCAGAGAGCAGGATGAATAGTTCAAATCAAGATTTTGAAGGTGGTGCAGTAATAAAAAGCTCATGGCCGCAGAAGTGGGCAAATGAGGAGGATGGAGGAAAAAGATGCCTATAAGTAAGGAGGACGAAGAAACTTGTGCAGCCAGGATTCTGAAACCCCTCAAAATGAAGCAGAGGAGGTGGAGACGTAGACAGTGAGCCAGGCGCTGCAGTCTTCAAGGGAAACAACGGTGGTAAAGCCACGGCATGGACTTCAAAGGTGGGGGGGTAGGGGGTGATTGGGAAGTAGCAATGAGGAGCAAGCAGGACCCCCTGCCTGCCAGTTACACAAGGTGTGAGGAGAAAGACACCTCTGTGTCTGTCTGAGGACCACCCACCTCTCCAGCCTTCCTCTGGACCAACCACCAACCCCTGTCCCTGTTCCTGTCCCGGCTCCATTCTTACTTCCCCATGTGAGGCCCCAGTAACACTGAACTCCAGGCCATTCCTCCTTACAAAATGCTCTTTCATGATTCTAAGCCTTTGGATGTACTCTTCTTCACCTCGTGGGCAAACTTGACACATCATACTGAGTCAAGGGCTTGACCTCCTTTACGAAGTCTTCCAGGAACCCCTCTCCTTCCTTCCCCATCAAGGCAATTCTCTCTCCTCTGGGGTACCTCTATATCCTACATTTACTTCTACTGTTATACTTATTACCCTATTTAAAAAGGCAGGCAGCTGTATTTAAATTTTGTATCTCTAGAACCTAGCAGAGTGCCTGGTAGGCACCCAAGACATGTGATAAATAAATGAAGCCCAAGCAGACGGAAAAGCATTTTGAAGGCCCTGGAACAAGAAAACTTTGTTGTTTTAAGAACTCAAGCTCCTTCCTACCTCAGGGCCTTTGCACATATTGTTCTCTCTGCCAGCAACACTCTTCCCCTTTCTTTTTTCACCTGGCTAAGCCCTGTGCTTATAAACATCACTTCGTCAGAGAAGTTCTTCATGACCATCTTTTGAATAAGATTCTGCTATGATCATCCGTCAGTGAATGTGAGCCATCATTGGGTATTCTATTACTCTGACATTCTTAAAAATTACAGAATTTTCTGTACACTTTTATATCATAATAAGTTCACTTATTGAGCGCTTATTGTATGCCATGCAAAACGCTTCGCATTTAATTTTCACAATAAACCTGAATGATGAATATGATGTATATTCTCCTTTTACAGATGAGGCAGCTGAGGCTCAGGGACGTTAAGGTGCTCCCAATAACTCAACTAGTAAGTAACAAAGTGGGAATTTAAATCCAGACTGATATTAACCACTACACAGTATTACCCCGAAGTTTGGACCACCTCAATCAGAATCACCTGGGATGCTTGTGAAATGAAAATTCCTAGCATCACTCTGAACTTACTGAACACAATGCCCAGAAATTGTTTTACACAATCTCTCCCGATGACTTTTATGCACTTTCAGGTTTGAGAACCACGGCTTTACTTTATGCAAAAACTAGAGAAAACTTCAATCACTCTTGAGGACTGCAGTGGCAGCTTCTGATTTCTATATAATAGGGATTTAGGGCCTACGAGCTGGTTGAATAAGGGGAAGACTATGGGATTTGTCTGGAAGACGAATTTGAATAGGAAGCATCCTGGTTTTGCTTAGATTGGATGAAGTCTGGACTCAACCTGGGTGCCTGGGGAGAGCGGTTAGCTGATGGGAGATAACGGAAGGGATGGATCTAAAAGCCCCAGGCCACCCTCTCGTGCCGCCACTCCCCAGCTGGACGACATGGAGCCCCTTTCAAGCTTGGCTCACTGAAGCAAAGATCAGGGACTACTTGTGGGAAGCAGCTGGACCTGTCCTCGGGATATCCAGGCAGCCGCCTCAGGCCCACAAAGTCCAGGACAGCAGTCGAAAAGTGGGGTCGTCCGGCAGCGGCTGCTGAGTTGGCGCGTCGGGGTTTTCCTCTGGGGAGAGGGCTCAGCAGAGCCTCGGCCCTCTGGCCCATCACCACTCCTCCCCGCCCGGGGATGGCGGGCTCGGGGGTGGCCCGGCCGCGTCGGGGGACGAGCTTACCTGCTGCTCTGACGCGGGAACATGCACCTACCCTGCCCGGTCGCCCCTCGTCCAGCCGTCGCCCCGGCAACCGCCGCCGCCTGCCTGGCACCACGTGGAGCAGCGCAGCCAATCACCGGACGCGACCTACGCGGAGCATCCTGGGACAAACGGCGGAGCCTAGCGGGCTAAGTCTCGGGGCTTCCAGGCGGCGGAAGTGAAGTCGCGGCTCGCGGTTCAGAGTCCGCTGCGGGTTACAAGATGCTGGGTGGCGTCACCCGCCCTCCTCTCCACAACTTCTCATTGGTTCTTTTCCACAAATATTGCGCCTCGGGCTTCCCTGGTGGCGCAGTGCTTGAGAGTCCGCCTGCCGATGCAGGGGACACGGGTTCGTGCCCCGGTCCGGGAAGATCCCCCATGCCGCGGAGCGGCTGGGCCCGTGAGCCATGGCCGCTGAGCCTGCGCGTCCGGAGCCTGTGCTCCGCAACGGGAGAGGCCGCAACAGTGAGAGGCCCGCGTACCGCAAAATAAAAAATAAAAATTGCGCCTGGCGTTGTGCCTGGCTCTAGGGATGAGCCCAACCAGGCTGGAAACAAAACCATCAAGAGATTACAGTGTGGTGTGCGCGGAAAAAGATAGGCGTCGTTATTCCCATTTTGCAGGAGCGACCCAGGGTCAATTTAGAACCAACAAGGTAGCCCAAGATCTGCCTTAAAGCTCCAGGCACCAGGTTCCACCCCACTGTAGCAGTTTCCAGGGATTTTAGAGAAACTTTTTTTTCCCCACGTGAAATGTGAGTTTTTAAAAGTGAAACAGGAGCACAAATCATCCCTGTCCTTGCGTGTGGTGCTTTTGAACTGAAGTTCACCAGCACTGAAAGGGCACCTGCAAGTCGCCCAACTCTGGGCTGGAGGCTGGGGAGTTGGCTAGATGATGGAGAAAATCTCTCCCTACCCGGCATTGAGGACCAGATCTCCATGTTTCCATCTCCATGCTTCCAAGAAGGTGGAGACCACCAAGGCCAGAGACAGGGAAGAGGGCATGGAGAAGGTAGATATGCTTGCCTTTGAAGAAGCCCTAAGATGGTCTGTGGCCACCTCCCCAGGCCCCAGGCCTGCCAGTGCTCTTTTGAGATCTGAGAGTGTTTTCAAAGAAAGGTTGTATTTAGCAGGAAGAGACACATTGTCCAGGTAATATGAATTGAAAATAAACCTCGCCATTCATAATGACAAAAGTTCACATCTATTGTCAACTCACTGTGTGCCAGGGATTGCCAGACAAAATACAGGACAACCAATTAAGTTTTAATTTCAGATGAGTTTTTAGTTAAGTATATCCCAAATATTGCCTTATTGTGCATATAGGACATTATATTTCCTGTATTTTTATTTGACAAATATGGCAACCCTATGAGTGCCCACTTGTATGTAATCCTCACACCACATCTATGAGATGGGTAATATTTTCAGGGGTTTACAGATTAACGATGTTGTACCTTACCTGAGCCCTCTGCTCCTGGGAAACAGTGATGGTTAAGAAATCCCCCCACCCTTTTGTGTTCTGGGAAGGGGCTTACCAAAAAGAACTCCCTTTCCTCTCGTGACTTAGATAAGGCTCATCATCCACTCTTCTTCGTGACTCCTGTAAGGTTCATGGACGATGCTCTTGTTTACCTGTGACAAGGCCAAACATAGACCTTTCCCCTTTTGCTTGAACCTGCTCACCAGGCCAGACACGGACCTTCCAAATTCCTGTTCTTTGTCTCGTGGTTGATTAGCTGAGATAAGAACTAATCTTTTGTGCCCCCCCTGAAACTAGTTAGATACAGAGATAAGCATGTCCTGTTCAGCTAATTGACTGAGATTTCCCCTGATGGCAAAATCAACCCAACTGTAAATCATCCTACTTGTAACCTGTCTAGCCCTCCCTCTACGAGTCCAAGGTAGAACCACCCTGTGGAGGCACTCTGATGTCTGACCTGGTTCGCTCTACCTATTGAAATAGCCTGAATAAAATCAACCTGCTTGTCCAGGTTTTGTCTTTGACAAGATGAATAACATAAAGAGGTTAAGAAATTCCTCCAAATTCACATAGCTAGGGAGTGGTAGAACCAGAACTGAACACAAGACCTTGTGCCTTTGAACCCTAGGCTCTTAACTACAATAAAAACCACTCCAGGGAATTCCCTGGTGGTCTAGTGGTTAGGAATCTGCCCTTCCACTGCAGGGGACACGGGTTTCAATCCCTGGTCAGGGAACTAAGATCCCGCATGCTGCGCAACACTGCCAAAGAAAAAGACAAAAACAAACAAAAAAAACACTCCTGCTTTACTTTCTCTTACAAGTGCATTTGCCTGATGAGCAGGATTTGCCCAGCATCCCATCCCATGACCACAGGGATGGGCATTACAGCCCAATCTGGACCAATATTGCCCCATCCTTCTGACAAGTGATTGGTTCAGGATAGGCATGTGACCCAAGCTGATCTAATGGAAGTCCTTCCCTGGGATTTTTCTGTTGAAATGTGGTCAGTTCATTGTAAAATGAGACTCCAGAGCAGCCTACTGCCGTGTTCTTCATCTCATGGGAAGGCCTGAGAAAATGAAGCTGTTACCTAGAGAGATGCAAACAGAGCATGTTGGGGACATCAGATCCTTGGTCCCAGACTCCTGAGTTCCCTGGAGCAGCCCTCACTCCATCCATTGCATAAGCACTGCTCCCCCCCAACCCCAGCATTCTTCCAATCAACCATCATTTTCATTTAAACTGGTTCAAATTGCAACCAAAAGAAGTCTGACTATTACAGATGTAATTTCTATATGTTATATCAACTGAAAATGGCTTAAAAATTTGTTTCTTGTTAAACAATTTAAGTTTATTTCCAGGGATGTGAGTCACATCACAGCACCCAGTAGTTCTGTGGCCTGGGTGAGGTTGGCAAAAAGATCCAGACCTTCAAATGGCCTTCCCAAAGGGCAAGCACAGAGGGCAGTATGTTGGTTTGAACTGAAGAGTAGATGCTACAGTGACCGAATTTGGTGTTTTTCTCGCAGATTGACACATCTTGAGGACCAGCAAGGCATGGCTCACAAGGAACCTCTTTAGCTGTACCGCCAACCCTGTCACTAAGCATTTCCTGGCCTCATTGTTGTCTCAGCCTAAGCACCGATCCACTTGCCCCAAACCAACTTTACATTATGACTACTGCTTTCACGGTGAGACCTACATATGGACTTGAGAGGGTGTGGGTGAGACAGGGACAACTGGGCTACTAAATAGTTGGTTAATCATGACAGTGAAAAGAATAATTCCTGATGATAGAAGATGCACATAGTAACGCTGAATCTCCCTTTTCACCCTTCTCCCCACCTATATTTAATGTCCCATGAGCTCAGTTGAACCTGAGGTCAAGGGTAAGACATAGAACTCCTTGCTGCCCCTGGATGAAGCCTTTTACTGCTAATAGACATCTGAAGCCAAAAGTGAAACTATGGCCGGTGAGGAGAGAATTTGGGAGGATGACCCACTGGCTTTCCCATGTGTGGTCCCCAGATCAGCTGCCGCAGCAGCATCTGGGAGCTTGTTAGAAATGCACATTCTCAGGCCCCACCCAGACCTGCCGAATCAGAAACTCTGGGTGGGGCCCAGCAGTCTAGGCGATTGGGACTGATGGGCGCCCCAAGTGTGGGAGCCGCTGGACTTGAAGGTCTCGGGTTGCGCGGGCTCTGGGCGGGAGCGGAAGCGAGCATCCCCCGGGCGCCGGCGCGGCGCGGGGAGCTGGGCTCTGCGAGGCCGGATCTGCGCCCACCGCCCGCCCTGCCCTGGAAGCCGCACAGACGCCGCCCGCCCGCGCGTCTGGCTGGCTGGCGCGGGGACCAGGTGGAGCCGCGATCACCAACGCAGCCGCTCCGCCCCGAGAGGAAGCAAGCAAGACGCCCACGGAGTTTTCACCCAGTGGGGGTGGGGGTGGGGGCGTCACTGCAGTGACCTCGGGCCTGGGAAGGATGGGGTCAGCGCGGGGCCTGGGTAGAACTTAAGACAGCAGCCGTCGGACCTGACCTGGGCTCCGCCCAGGTGGAAGTTCGGCTCCTGCCGGGCCCCAGGCGCACCCGCGCCTCCTCCCGCGGTCATTTCCAGGAACCTGGACTCGGGCTGTGCCAGCCCGGCGGTCAGAGTGCAGAGCGGTTCCCAGAAATCACAGGCGCTCTGGAGCGGAGACAGTCCCCACCCGAGCGGCCCGGGCATCACTGTTTTCCTCCCGCGACCGGCCCCCAGCCCTGACCCTGGGAGGGAAGTCGGGGCAAAGACACTGGAGCGGCCTGGGGCACAGCAGCGCAGGCCAACCCCGCCTTCCCTCATTACAAGCTCTCTGGCCCTGTCCCTTTTCCTCCCGGCCTCAACTCCTTACAGAGTCGCGCCAGGGACGCAGAGGACTCCTTCACGTCCAGTGACAGTAACCTGTCTTGAAACAGCTTCAGCCAAAAGCGACTTTTCCTGGCTCCCATCACAGGGAAGTCAGGCGCAGCCCGCCTCCCTCAGGCAGAGCGGGAAGGAGGATCCCAGCAGTGCTTTCAGTTCTCGGCTTCTGTCTCTCTCCTCTGGGCTCTGCCAGGGGCTCTGTGTGGGGCGGGGACCGGAAGCCAGCTCTCCCCGTGGCGGGACCTGTGACCTGGGCCCGGGAGCAGCGAGCGGCGGCCTGGGCAGAGAGGCAGGGAGGACGAGCGAAGCCCTGTGGGAGCGCTCTCCCTGGTGTCTGGTTCCCCTCTCTCCTGAGGCCTGGCTGCACCCTGTCCTTGACTCTTTAAAATGGCTTTGTGTGTATAAGATGAAGGCTGCTTCTGTGCTGAGCATGTTCGAGTTGATGACCCACAAGGAAGAGTCTGGACTCCCACAGGCTCCCTGGGCAGGGCTGGCTGCCTCCCAGCCTCCCTGCCGGTGGGCGTGGGGCGGAGCTCCCTAGCATGGAGGAGGGAAGAGGGGACACAGACACTGCCTCAGCGGCCAGCTCGGTGACCTCCTCCTCCCTCCCGCTGGGACAGGGGAGTGGCCTCATCCTCCTCTGTATGGGTCCCAGGAGGGCCTGCCAAGATCCCTGGGGGAGGTGCTAAAGTGGGCAGAGATGTTGGAGCAGCTA